TTAGACTAAAATAACTTACAAGTTTTTGGAAAATCTCTTTTTCAACCTGAATACAAAATATTAAAAAATTCTTTTGAAAATAAATTACCAAAAGAAGTTATTCTTGAACTATTTAAGTTGCAAGATCAAATAAATAAAAACAATGTAAGTCCAGAGTTTATTATTAAAAACATTTCAAGAGATTTAAAAGATAAAACAGATATAGAGTGTCAATTTTTTGAAACAGCAGAAGATGTACCAGAACCTGAAAATCTTAACTGTATTAAAAATAATTTAATGATATTTGATGACTTACAATTAACAAAGCAAAACAAGTGTGAAAAGTACTATATAAGAGGAAGACATAGCAATGTAGATTGTTTCTACTTGGCACAAAATTATTTTGAGTTACCTAGGAGAACGATAAGAGAAAATGCAAATTTTATATGTTTTTTTAAACAAGATTCTAAAAATGTAAATCATATTTATAATGACCATGTTTCAAATGATATGAAATTAGATGAGTTTAAAAAGTTTTGTAATGAATCTTGGTCAAAAAAGCATGGATTTGTTTTTATAGATTTGTCTTCTGATTTATTAAATGGAAAGTATAGAAGTGGATTAGATTTATTTTATTATCCAACTTCATTGTGGAATTGATAAATATATATTTTTAAAAAATATATATATTTTTTTTATGAAGACTTAGCGAAGCATTGGTTCTTTCAGAATTTAGCGAAGCCTGGATCACGAAGTGATCTAAAGAAGAAGACCTAGTAAGGGTATATTCTTAAATGGAGAATTTTTCTCCTAATAACAATCCTCTACCTACTGATGAATATTCATTTCCATTTTTAGAATAATATCCATCTAAATAATTATAACTACTATTCCATGGGTTTAAAAATACTCCTTTTCCTACTTTTCTAATTTTAAATCCACTACCATTCTTTTTCACATAAATAATACCATTTCCAGCAATTTTATTAACTATAGTACTTCCAGCAGCTGCAAGCTGTTCCAGTCAATAATCCTGCTGCTAAAGCCGAAACAACTTTTGATGCAATTACACTTCCAATTAATCCTAGTAGAGGTAGAAATCCACCATTTTTTTTAGCATTATGTTTAAGTTGTGCTCTACTCAGTAAAAGTTAAATAGGCTGCTTTCATTCTGTTTCTTTGTGACTCTGTTAAAGCTGTTTTGTGTTCACCATTTAAATCTTCATATGATAGTTTTATACTAGCATTAGTATCAGATTCAATTGCTTTTTTAATTTTTTCTTTCTGACTATCTGAAAGATTAATAAGAGTATCATAATATTTTGTCATTTTTATATATATATAAAATAATTTTTTTAATTCATTTTAAGTTATTGCTTTCTGTAATGCTTTATAGTCATCATCATCTATTTGACCCTGTCGTAACAACTCATCACAAATAGCAACAATCTCATTTCTTGTTCCAGTATTTCCTGCTTGTAAACCAGCTAAGCGTAATTTAAGCATCTCAAATAGTGCATTTGGATCACTAGGAAGAATGACAACACCTTTTCCAGACTTTCCAATCATCTCTTCCCAAATAGGTTTTATTACATTAGTGTACTTATAACTTCTAGATGATCTCGGTTTAGCTGTGTTTAAATCAGAGCGAATTGCATCTGTTTGATCTAAAATTTCTTTATACTTATTACGATCATCGTTAGTATATCTAACAGGATGAGATTTTACTATGATTTCCCAAAGACCAGGTGTACCAGTGTATTTTTTACCTTCAATAGTTATATCATTACCTTCAATAGTTATTGGTTTTTTACCGATTTAAAATTTTTCATTACCTTCATTGTAATGTATACCAAATATGTCATCTGATTTTTTACTATTTTTAGTAGTATATAACTTTAAATATTCTGTTGCGATAGGTCCTAACGACATTTTATCTACAACTTCAGGTGGCATGATTGCTTTAGTTTCAGAATCTAGTAAAGCAGGATAATTTGAAAAAGTATTAGCTATTTGATCAGCTTTATTTTCTAATTTAGATATACCTTCTTTTATTCCAGATTGACTATCTATTAATGGTTTGTACAATTTTTCCAAGTTAGTCTGTAAAGTATCATAACCTAACTTTTCATTAATAGAATCTTGATATACACTTTTTTTTAGCCCCTCAAGTTTTTTTGCTATTTTTAATCTTGTATCAATATCTGTAGCTTTTGCATACATTTTTATATAAGCAATAATTTTTTTAAATCACTCTATGATCCTCAGATCCCTAAAAAGATCTAAATCAACATATATTATGTTCAAGTAATACATAATATATGTTCAAGTAATACATAATATATGTTTTAATGTTTAAGAGTATTATTTATCACTCCTATACTTTGATTCTTATTAAATTTCATATTTAGCGCCTCTATAATATCATTTGTTCCTTTTTCTACTCCTTTATTAAATATTGACTCTTTAGTCTGCTCATTTATATCTTTCTTAGATTTTGTTCTAATTTGTTCAGTCATAGCTTGAAACTTTTCAAGTTCTGAAAGTATCATATTAAATTCTGCATCATCAATATATTGATCTGATATAGCTTTAGAAATAAGACTACTTATTGTATTTAGTTTTGCATCAGTACTTTAATCTTTTTGTGCTTTTCTGCTTTTATTGTTAATTTTTTAATAGCTTGTGATCCTATTAATGATAATACACCCATACCTAATGCTGCAATTTCACATCCAATAGCTACTGGTGATCCAACTATCGTTGTTAAAAAGCCAATACCAACAGCTCCAAGTGTCATTGTGCTAGCTAGTAATGAATTATCAATAGCTGAAACTATTCTTAAAGCTTTGTGATATTTCTTACTTAAGATCTCTCTTCTAATTCTTTCACATTCTATCTTATTTTGAATTTCATTTATTTTAACTAATCTAAAGTTCTGATCAGATAGTGGTGGTGCAGATGGATTTTCTGAAAACTGGTTAAGATCTGGATAAAGCTGTTTACATTCATTATTACATTGCATTCCTTTTTTCTATAAAGAAAAATTTGTTTTAAATCACTTTTATTTACCAAAATCAAATAGAGCTTTGTCAGATTTATCTATACTAGGTTTATCTTCATCACATATAGTTTCTTTAATTATTCCCCCTATACTTGATAATATAGATTTTACAGATTCTTTATCACTTTGTGATTTAGTTCCTGAGTCCCTTTGTGATCTAACTTGTTCTACTTTTTTATCAAGTTCTGATATATAATTTGCATTAAAAACACCATTATAAGTTGATATACAGCATAACAAATCCCCTTCTTTAATATTTATATCTTTTTTATCGTTATTATATAAAGTTATTTTAATATCATCAGTAGACTCTATTACAACAGAATTTAGTAAATTTAGAGTAGGTTAATAATTTTCTGCAAGTGAAATCAATACATGTCCTTTATCTATTTTAACTCCACACATTAAAGAAATGTTATTGTATGAATTTAATTTTACTGTAAAATTTTCTTGAGCGAATACTTTAATATGTCTATCATTTATTGATCTATGCTCTATATCTAAATTAATATTAAAAGTTATTGTATATTTTTCATGCTTTTCATAATCTAAAAACATTCTTCTCTTATACATTTTTTATAAATGTAAAGATGTTTTAATTCATTTTAAGTATTATCCTTTTAAGTATAATATTTTTACTTTAAAGTTCTTACAATGTAATTTACAATCTGTTCATTCTCATGTAAATAATAACACTTTTTATTATCATTAATATTTTTATATAAAGTTTTTTTTTCCCTTTTTTTATTTTTCATAATTTTCTTTTCTGTTAATTTACATAGTTTAAATGGGCAATTCTATACGTTTTCTTTAATTTCATCTTTAGTATGAGCATATTTACATTTATCTTTTAAAGGACATTCTTTTTTATCAAGTATATATTTGCATAATTTACTTTTTGCTTTTCCTAATTTTAATAATTCTGACTTTTTAGGATGAAATAATCCACACTCTTTATTCTTGCATTTAGGATATTCTGAACATATAGAAATATGCTTATATCTGCATGAAGCTTTAGTGCATATTAATTTTTCTTTTACAGTATTACAATAAGGAATATCGTGATTGTATTTACATTTTCTTCCAAAAGGGCAAAAATCATCTTTTAATATATTTTTACAGAAAATTGATAGTTTCTCTACAAAATGAATTGTTGAAGGTTTTCCATCTTCAGTAAAATTAATATCAACATTAAATGGTTTTTCAGAACTAAATTTTCTATTTTTGTTGTGTTTTTTAACAAAAAACTTATCTATAGTAGGATAATTATCATCGGTATTATCATCATAAGTTGGAACATAATTAATCCATTTCAGTTTATCTTTACACAATTCCATAATTTGTACTGTTTTTGAAGGAATTGGAACTATACATTTTTCTTGAATTTCTTCTTCATCCGAATCATCAGATATAAAATAAGTATCATTTTCAGAGTCAGAATCAGATTCTTCAAATTCAAATTTTCTCATTTCTTCAAAAAGTCTAAATTTTTTTTGAAATTCAGATATTTCATTAATCTCATCATAATTCATTTTCATTTTTATTATTTGATAAAATATTTTAAATCAAAAAAATTTAAAATAAGTTAAATTAAATTTCTTATGTATATAAAAGAATGGATCTAGAAAAGAAACTTGAAGAATTATGCTTAAACTTTAAATTAATAGATGAAAGATTAAGGTTAATAGAAGAAAAATTAAATATTATTGATACTCATGATATTGAAATGACTAAAGATTCTGAAGTTACTACAGTTACTACTACTGAAGTTACTGAAATTACAGAAACTACTGAATATGTTAATGAAGATGATGAAAGTACACATAATTAAATATTTTTAATTATTTTATTTTGTCAAAATAGAAAAAATTGAAAATGAGTTAAATAATTTTCTTTTTATATATAAAAAGAATCGAATTAGAAAATAATTTTAAGATTAATGAAATTTTTAAAAAATATGAGTATAAACAGGGTAATAAGGTTGATTTTGCTGCAAAAATAGGTAGACTTAATCTAATTAAATTATTAGTTCAATTGGGAGAAAAAGTGACAGAAAAAGCAATTGATATTGCTGCAGAAAAGGGTCGCCTTAAAGTAGTTAAATATTTACATTCTATAGGATATAAAGGTTCAGATCGCGCATTTGATTTTGCTGCAAAAAATGGTTACTTGGAAGTACTTAAATATTTACATTCTATAGGATATAAAGGTACAAAAGATGCAATTAATTGGGCTGCAAGAAATGGTTACTTGGAAGTACTTAAAAATTTACATTCTATAGGATATAAAGGTTCAGATCAGGCATTTGATTTTGCTGCAGAAAATGGTTACTTGGAAGTACTTAAATATTTACATTCTATAGAATGTAAAGGTACAGAAGATGCAATTAATTGGGATGCAGAAAATGGTTACTTGGAAGTACTTAAATATTTACATTCATTAGGATATAGAGGAACAGATTGGGCAGTTAATTGGGCTGCAAGAAATGGTTACTTGGAAGTACTTAAATATTCACATTCTATGGGATATAAAGGTTCAGATATGGCAGTTAATTTTGCTGCAGGAAAGGGTCACCTTAAAGTACTTAAATATTTACATTCTATAGGATATAAAAGTACAGATTTGGCAGTTAATTTTGCTGCAGAAAAGGGTCGCCTTGAAGTACTTAAATATTTACATTCTATAGGATATAAAAGTACAGATTGGGCAGTTAATTGGGCTGCAAGAAATGGTTACTTGGAAGTACTTAAACATTTACATTCTATAGAATGTAAAGGTACAGATTAATACTTTTTGATACACGTAGTGACTATAAATTCTAGTAGTGATAAAGTTAAGCAATGCTTCTACACATAAACAAAATTTTAAATAAATGAATCCCAGCGCATGCGCACAAGAAACAGCAAGAAAAGTCATGTGACGTCACACCTTTTTTCGACAAGAAATAAAAATTTAACACTTATTTAAAAAAATTCAATTTTTTTAAATAAAAATTTATTTCTTATCTAAATAATTTATACACAATAGGGATAACATTAAACCATATATTAATATTAATATATGGTTGAAAATATGGTTAAAAATAAAAATGAGCTAGAACCGGCATCCTCTAACTACTCCTATTGTGCATTATGCGCTCTAAATTTTTTGAAATGCATTGCAAAATAGAAATAGGCCTGTAGTTAGAAGCAATAGAATCATCTCCGCTTTTAAATATAGAAACTGCTTTTGCTAGCTTTAGCTGGCTAGGGAATACCCCATTTTTTAAAGACAGATTACAGTAATGCAGAAGGGGATATATTTTTTAACAAGGTAGATTTTACCAGCTCCAGGTACATTTAGTTTGACAGCATAGGATCCTTGGTAATGTGGTCTGAATTAAATTTAGATATTTAATCGTTTAAATCGTTGCTTGATTCAACACATTTTCCTTTGAAAGTATGATTCTTTTGCATACTAAATTCTTGGCTTCTAGCTGACAATGCTTCAGTCCAATTCGGTCATTGCAAAATTCAAGACTTACCGATGGGCTAACTCGAACAACTTGCTTACCTTCAGCTCCAAGGCAAATTGTGAACGAATCTACTTGACCTTCATCAAGTTCAACACATCCTGTGTCACTTCCGGAAATAATTAACTTTTTCAAAAGTTTTAAACACAGCCATTTTTCACAACACTGCTGATATAAGGATTTTAATAGGTTACATTTTTCTGGATTATAGTCTTGTGCTTTAATGAGCGTTTCTTTTATAGGCTTTAAAGGTCACTTGGATAAACTCCTTTGTTTCACAATTAAATAGCCACGCGCATTAATTATGCACTAAAAATCTCATCTAAAAAGTTCATCATCCTAATATTTTTTTAAAGAAGCTCGGAGAGTCATACCTCCACATTAGCTCTAATAATGAACTACATTAAGTCACCAAATGTAGCAAGTGTTATTTTTGGTAGAGAAAAAGAGGACAAAATACGTCCTCTTTAAATCATTTAAAAAAAAACCACAACACCTTCAAAATAGAAATAACCGGTATTTACATCACATGACTTTTTTATTTAGACACCTTTAAAATATGAACGAAATCACCTATCAGCTAGAGTTTAGTGAGATAAAAAATGTATTAATAAGATAAGGCAGGCATTGCACAAATTTTTTTTAAATACATTTTACTAGAAACTGAACAAGAGAAAATGATATTTACGATAGTAATAAGCAGAAAAACTTTTGCATTTGCAAACGCCCATGATTTAAACTAATGATTCCATGCAATAAACCTAGCTGTGAAATTCAATGGTTTCACTACTCATGCGTAAATGTAAATCGTGCTCCAAAAGGAATTTAGATTTGTCCTAATTGTTTGAAATAATAGTTTGTACTATTTACTTTAAAAAATTAAATTATTATTTATATCCATTTTTTATTTCTGCACTACACTTTTATTTAAATTTATAAGTGCAGCTACTAAAATCATTATACTGTCATGTAAATCAACTTTACTTACATGTATAGTTGATGTTAATAATTGAAATTGAAGTCAAAAACAGTAAAAAATTGCGTGACATAATTTATATCGACACATATTCTTTGTAACAACCCTAGTTATGGACGACCTTTTTTTATATATATGAAAAAAACTTGTATTGTAACATAAGAAATTCCAACCCCCCTCTTTTAATAACCCCCTCAACCTTCCCATGTTTATTTAAGATAAAATTTACCACACTACCTTTTATTCCTCTCAATTCCAATTGTATTATGGACTCGAGAGTAGATAAACGAGTTTGACAAATAAAATCGAATGTTTGAACACTTTCTTTTACTAATGTGATACTTTCGTTTACTAATGTGAATCTTAAGCTGGAAAATCATTTTCAAGATTTCAACACACCCACACATATATATATATATATATATATATATATATATATATATATATATATATATATATATATATATATATATATATATATATATATATATATTATATATATATATATATATATATATATATATATATATATATATATATATATATATATATATATAAATATACGGGACCGCCCAGAGCTTTTGTGATGCCCGAGTCCAAAAGTTTAATGGATGCCCTATCATACTTCAGGTCTTAAAATAGCAAATAAATTTATATAGTTTACTTTCATAAAAACCTAAAATTACATTTAATTTTGGTTTGCAAGAACAAACTATGATAAAATCAATTCTTAATTGACAAACACATCTTCCGGGCCTTCTTAGTAGCAAAATTTCAAATAACTTCTTCATAGTTAACGTTAATGGCTAAATCTAATTTGATTGAAAGGATCATCAAGTAGCACAATCGCTCCTGGCCCATTGTGGAACGAAGATAATCTTTGATGATAGCTAACTTGCTGAAAGATCTTTCTCCTTCAGATGTTGAAACGGGCAATGTTAGAAAGATTCTAAGAGAAATACACACTTGCGGAAATATTGAATGCAGCCCCTTTGCATAAACTTCATTTAGAAGTTCGACAGGCTTTTCGCTGGCTGAGAATATTTCTTCTTACGGAAAAGAAATGCCGAACTTCATCAGAAAATTCGTTTTTACATAAGTCTTCTGGGTAAAGTTTAGCCAGATTCTCAGCTTTTAAACCTAGTTCTTAGTCTGTTTGAGATTTCTGTAAAGACCAAAGGAAGGAAAACTTGCTATATTCCTCTTCTATTACTTTAAATCTTGATCTCATTTGACTAGTCAGATTGTCGAGTGCAACATTGAAGACATTACACTCAAAGTTTTTTGATGCTTCTTCGTGGTTGTAACCAGCAGTTTCATCTGAGACGATCTTTTTTTGCGTTCTCTTCACAGTAAACATTATTTTATCAAATTTCAAGTTCTTTGCAACTTCTGTTGCCTCTATCAAAATCAGGTCCCAAGACAGACGGATTCGATCCAGATCCATCAAAAGGCCATTTAGAATCTTTACTTCATCATCGAGAGTGAGTTGAGTGGATTGAAGCAGAAGACTCACGTTATTAACTGCCATCAAACATTTAAACCAAAAAGTAGTGAAAACAACAAATTCAAAAGAATTCATCCATATAATGAGATAATGCACTTCATTACTACTTTCGCCTGGAAGGTCTAACTCTTTTAGACGATGTAATGATTTCAAGATCTCTCTTGGCTTTTTTGCTAGTGGCTTAACTGATTCAATCCTTGAACTCCATCGTGTAACAGAAAGTTAATGTAATGATTGGCTTGTCTCCTTCTGAAGAATTATCCAACGAACTCTGCTGCTGCTGAACAGATTGTATAGCTTTTGAATATTTCCAAAATAGGATTTTGCAGGAGCCGATGATTCAATAGCGTGTACTGCACATAAGCTCAAACTGTGAGCAGAGCAAGGAATGAAAATTGCTAGTGGATTATTCTGTCTTATCAAAGCTTGAACTCCATTGCAAATACCTGCCATATTAGCGCCGTTGTCGTAGCCTTGACCACGACAATTTTTTATGTCGAGCTCATTCTTTTCGAACACATTCAATATCAACGTTGTTATATCAGATCCCTTCTTCTTTTCAAGTTCTTCTAGCTTAAGGAATCTTTCTTTGACCTCCAACAGCTGATTATCATTGAAATGCAAAAAACGAAAAACAAAAGTTATTTGCTCGCTGTGGGACGAATCGGTGGTGCTGTCCGTAAAGATGGTGAAATACATTGATTTTTTGATTTCTCGAATAACTTCTTGAACCACTAATTTGCCGCATTCCATGATAAATTCATTTTGTGATTTCCAAGATAAATAATGAGCTTGCATGCGTTTTTCTTCTTCTTGGTGCTTAGCAATAAGATGCATATGATCTTGTAATGTTTTGTTGTGGCGAGTAATTAATTCGAGCGCTCCAAGGAAGTTTCCATTCTCATTTTTGAACAACTTTTGATTGGATCCTAATTACAAACAAAAAATAATCAAAAGAGTTATCCATATTTATATCTAATTAAACTTGTAAGTTTGATTTTTAAATTACAAATAGAATAATGCAAAATATAATTTAAAATTTAAAAACAATATTCTTACCCCTAAAAGCTAAGTTTCTTGAAGCTAGAAAAAGTGTGACCTCAAGAATGCATTGTAAAATTACTTTCCATCGCTTTGTTTCATCTCCAATTTGTTTTTCTAACTGATGCTCAATGGACTTTTGACTTTTTAAGTGAATCGTAGCTGTTTTCCATTGGAGATAACAGTTACAATGAAAATCGCTTTGTTGATGACTTTTAACGCGATCTGAAAGTTTTTTCCAATTTCCATGTATACCTCCATTCCAAGACAACAAACTGGATTAAACACCGGGTCTGGTTAAGTTAGGCGATCCAAAAAGGGAGCAAGGGAAACAAAAGAGTGATGCCACAGCCTTACTCCAAACGAGCCAATCTCTTTTAACTTTTTCTCCGTTTCTTTGTTCCTCTAAAAAGATATAAGTAGGGAATTTGCGTTCTTTTTGATCTCTTGGAAAATTGCTAGGATTTGAAGAAGGTCCCATCAGAATTATATTCGTTCGATCAGTGTCTGATATTGATTTCCATTGTGCAGGATCGTTAGAGATTGGTATAGAAAGATCACTTTTATAAATTTGTTGGTCATTGTGACAATCAAGCACAAAATCCAACTGATCCTTTTTTAAATGTGATGATGTTTTTTGGGAGTCATCGATGTCATCGGCAAGAAAAAGTTTGTTAGAATTATGGTCTGGAAACTCATTAGAGTCATTGATACCAATCTCAATATCATTGAACTATAAAGAAGTATTAAAC